GCCTCTTTTAAATGCCAGAGGTAAAGCTTGGAAGACTATAAATAACCTCAGCCAGCATAGTACCAGGACTTGCTGATAGACAGAGCTGTGTATTAAAACAGACTTGAAACTTACACCTAAGAAGGTTGTGTTCTTATTGCCCAGGCTCAGCACAACTTGTACAGGCTGCTAGCACAACACAACTTGTACAGGCTGCTAGCACAACACAACTTGTACAGGCTGCTAGCACAACACAACTTGTACAGGCTGCTAGCACAACACAACTTGTACAGGCTGCTAGCACAACACAACCTGTACAGGCTGCTAGCACAACACAACTTGTACAACTTGTACAGGCTGCTAGCACAACACAACTTGTACAGGCTGCTAGCACAACACAACCTGAACAGGCTGCTAGCACAACACAACTTGTACATGTATGTTGTATGCTTGTATCCAGGTACAACACACCTTGTACCAGCCTCTGTAGTTGTATTCTTGTATCCAGGCACAACACACCTTGTACAGTCTACTGTGATTGTATGCTTGTATCCAGGCACAACACACCTTGTACAGTCCGCTGTGATTGTATGCTTGTATCCAGGCACAACACACCTTGTACAGTCTGCTGTGGTTGTATGCTTGTATCCAGGCACAACACACCTTGTACAGGCCTCTGTAGTTGTATGCTTGTATCCAGGCACAACACACCTTGTACAGGCCTCTGTAGTTGTATTCTTGTATCCAGATACAATACAACTTGTGCAGGCCTCTGTAGTTGTATTCTTGTATCCAGGTACAACACACCTTGTGCAGGCCTCTGTAGTTGTATTCTTGTATCCAGGCACAACTCACCTTGTACAGGCCTCTGTAGTTGTATTCTTGTATCCAGGCACAATCAGCCTGTGCAGGCCTCTGCAGGTTGTATCTGTACAGTTGTAGTTGTATTGTTATCCAGGCACAACTCACCTTGTACACTCTGCTGTGGTTGTATGCTTGTATCCAGGCACAACACACACACCTGTAGTTGTATCCAGGCACAATACACCCTGTGCATGCCTCTGTGGTTGTATGCTTGTATCCAGGTACAAACACACCTTGTATCCAGCACACAAGCCTGTGCACAACTTGTGCAGGCTTCTGTAGTTGTATTCATGTCAAGGCACAACACACCTTGTACAGGCCTCTGTAGTTGTATTGTTGTATCCAGGTACAATACAACTTGTACAATCTGCTGTGGGAGTATGCTTGTATCCAGGCACAATACAACTTGTTCAGGCCTCTTTAGTTGTATTCGTGTGTCAAGGCACAACACACCTTGTACAGGCCTCTGTAGTTGTATTGTTGTATCCAGGCACAACACACCTTGTACAGGCCTAGAGAGTTGTATTGTTGTATCCAGGCACAATACAACTTGTACAGTCTGCTGTGGTTGTATGCTTGTATCCAGGCACAATACAACTTGTACAGTCTGCTTTGGTTGTATGCTTGTATCCAGGTACAATACAACTTGTACAATCTGCTGTGGGAGTATGCTTGTATCCAGGCACAATACAACTTGTTCAGGCCTCTTTAGTTGTATTCGTGTGTCAAGGCACAACACACCTTGTACAGGCCTCTGTAGTTGTATTGTTGTATCCAGGCACAACACACCTTGTACAGGCCTAGAGAGTTGTATTGTTGTATCCAGGCACAATACAACTTGTACAGTCTGCTGTGGTTGTATGCTTGTATCCGGGCACAATACAACTCGTACAGTCTGCTTTGGTTGTATGCTTGTATCCAGGCACAACACAAGTTGTACAATCTGCTGTGGGAGTATGCTTGTATCCAGGCACAATACAACTTGTACAATCTGCTGTGGTTGTATTCTTTTGTCCAGGCACAATACAACTTGTACAATCTGCTGTGGGATTATGCTTATATCCAGGCACAATACAACTTGTACAGTCTGCTGTGATTGTATTCTTTTGTCCAGGCACAATACAACTTGTACAATCTGCTGTGGGATTATGCTTGTATCCAGGCACAATACAACTTGTACAATCTGCTGTGGGATTATGCTTGTATCCAGGCACAATACAACTTGTACAGTCTGCTGTGATTCTATCCAGGCACAATACAACTTGTACAGTCTGTTATGGTTGTAATCATGTATCCAGGCACAACACAACTTGTTTCTTCATTGTGACTACATAATGTTGGAGTAGGTTGAATTGTTACAAAATGAAATACCCCACATTTACATTGTACTAAACTTTGTATGCAATTCTACATCATCATGTAATGAACACAGTTTGGAACATATTTTGAGCATCTATTATCACAACATGAAGCAATAATGGTTCAAGAGAAGAGGCACCATTTTTTGAGTGGCGTTAAACAGCAAGTACTAATACAGTGTCAACACAAAACACCAGATAGCAGACATGGTATTCTTAGCTGAGTCAGAAACGTCTGGCCTTGACTGAAATGACAAGAAAGTTCATCTAAACAAAAGGTAGTGTATGTGGTTGGAGGCATTAAGAAACTGAGTTTGAACAGTGAATCAAATCTACAGTTAAGAATCAGGAAGCGTTGATGATAAGTCACTGCCACTTGTTGCAAGTTGCAGATATTTAGATATGTTCAGTGCAGCAGACAACAAGCCACAGTGAGGTCATTCACTCCTGCCTGATGTGGTGTTCCAGGAGCCGTCTGCTCCACAGCTGCGTAGCCTAACAAGTAGCTTCATAGTACAAATATATCACAGAAACACCCAGATCCGACTGGAAAAGTGTACCATTAAACTATTCTGAAATACGTACCTTTACAAACATTGTACAGAATTCTGTTTAACGTGAAAACCTTGTTTTTAGATGAGCTTCACATTTCCGGGATCATGGTTATGTGTTTGGCTGAACTTTGTGGGGATGATGCTTTCTCAGGATTCACCTTTGGTGGAAATAGTAGCGAATTAACTACTATTAAATCTTAGGAGTTATAAATTACTTTACAATCTGTAGTTGAGTGACAGATTGTGTTGTTTTTTTACAGTTTTGTACAACTAAATGATATCTGGCAAAATTGGGGTTGTGAAACTGCAGTATTATCCTGCAGATGCAATTGCTGCCATGTGCTGATGTTATGATTCCTGCTTGATTAATTTCAGTCCTATTGTTCAAGTATACATCTCACATGGTTCCTATAGTAATTTCAGTCCTATTGTTCAAGTATACATCTCACATGGTTCCTATAGTAATTTCAGTCCTATTGTTCAAGTATACATCTCACAGGGTTCCTATAGTAATTTCAGTCCTATTGTTCAAGTATACATCTCACAGGGTTCCTATAGTAATTTCAGTCCTATTGTTCAAGTATACATCTCACAGGGTTCCTATAGTAATTGTTTCTAGGGTTCCTATAGTCAGTCCTATTGTTATACATCTCACAGGGTTCCTATAGTAATTTCAGTCCTATTGTTCAAGTATACATCTCACAGGGTTCCTATAGTAATTTCAGTCCTATTGTTCAAGTATACATCTCACAGGGTTCCTATAGTAATTTCAGTCCTATTGTTCAAGTATACATCTCACAGGGTTCCTATAGTAATTTCAGTCCTATTGTTCAAGTATACATCTCACAGGGTTCCTATAGTAATTTCAGTCCTATTGTTCAAGTATACATCTCACAGGGTTCCTATAGTAATAGTCCTATTGTTCAGTACATCTCACAGGGTTCCTATTGTTCATTGTTCAAGTATACATCTCACACTATAGTAATTTCAGGTTCAAGTATATAGGGTTCCTATAGTAATTTCAGTCCTATTGTTCAAGTATACATTGTTCATTGTTCAAGTATACATCTCACAGGGTTCCTATAGTAATTTCAGTCCTATTGTTCAAGTATACATCTCACAGGGTTCCTATAGTAATTTCAGTCCTATTGTTCAAGTATACATCTCACAGGGTTCCTATAGTAATTTCAGTCCTATTGTTCAAGTATACATCTCACAGGGTTCCTATAGTAATTTCAGTCCTATTGTTCAAGTATACATCTCACAGGGTTCCTATAGTAATTTCAGTCCTATTGTTCAAGTATACATCTCACAGGGTTCCTATAGTAATTTCAGTCCTATTGTTCAAGTATACATCTCACAGGGTTCCTATAGTAATTTCAGTCCTATTGTTCAAGTATACATCTCACAGGGTTCCTATAGTAATTTCAGTCCTATTGTTCAAGTATACATCTCACAGGGTTCCTATAGTAATTTCAGTCCTATTGTTCAAGTATACATCTCACAGGGTTCCTATAGTAATTTCAGTCCTATTGTTCAAGTATACATCTCACAGGGTTCCTATAGTAATTTCAGTCCTATTGTTCAAGTATACATCTCACAGGGTTCCTATAGTAATTTCAGTCCTATTGTTCAAGTATACATCTCACAGGGTTCCTATAGTAATTTCAGTCCTATTGTTCAAGTATACATCTCACAGGGTTCCTATAGTAATTTCAGTCCTATTGTTCAAGTATACATCTCACAGGGTTCCTATAGTAATTTCAGTCCTATTGTTCAAGTATACATCTCACAGGGTTCCTATAGTAATTTCAGTCCTATTGTTCAAGTATACATCTCACAGGGTTCCTATAGTAATTTCAGTCCTATTGTTCAAGTATACATCTCACAGGGTTCCTATAGTAATTTCAGTCCTATTGTTCAAGTATACATCTCACATGGTTCCTATAGTAATTTCAGTCCTATTGTTCAAGTATACATCTCACATGGTTCCTATAGTAATTTCACTAAAGCAGTAAAACTAAGACCTGCACCAAGTCTTTCATTCAACATCAAGGTTACATAGTGTGATATGACCAACATATTCTTCAGAATGGAGTTAAACCAACCTCAGTGACCATTTCATGAGGAGATATTCCACACATACAGACAGTCTAGTCATGATTTGGTTTTGGAAATCAGTGCATTACAATGTTCTACCATATTGTTATTCAACATGTATAACTTGAATGTTTCACTGTTTCAGTCTGATGCCAAAATGGTGTTGGATGTTATCGCCCGCATGGAGGATACAGAACCATTCTCTGAGGATTTACTGGCTGCCATGAAGCGCCTGTGGACAGATACTGGAGTGCAGGAGTGCTTTGCTAGATCTAATGAATATCAGCTGAACGATTCAGCCAAATAGTAAGTATTACACACACATCTGTAGACCAACTTTAATTTAAGCTGTACAGCAGTATATCCTGGTGTAGCAACTTGGAGGCTGGGAACAGGGAATCCAGAAAAAAACAACTAATCTTAGTACTAGGACTGTAACAATTATTTTTCGAAAAACCTTACAAAATGTTCACAAACATGAGTTGTTTTTGGATACAAACATTTTGAACTTCTAAGTCCAACAGTTTTGCTTCCAAGTAGCGGACATTTTACCCTTCTCCATCATGCCTGATGTAGAGCATCATCTGTGTCATTATCAAACTCCACACAGGGCCATACAAACTCCCCACAGGTCTTTGAGTGAGTCCTCATGTCAGATTGTAAAAAGCATGTTTAGTGTAGCCAAGATAAGTAATGTATAAATAAACCAATTTTGAGACTTTGGATTACTGCTTGTAATCAAAATACCCAAAACAACTCTATTGCAAGATAAAAAAATATCTAAACTCGATATAACTGATAACCTGGAACTTCATAATATGTAAATTTGGGTCTGTCTGCCAATTTTATAGTTTCCTGAAAGAAAGGTTGTATATTTTGTTATGCACATTAAGAATTGAAGGTATGTGCAATCTTTTTATTCTTATGATACATTTTGATAGCTGTAATGTGTTCAGGTTCATTTGGCCAGAACATCCAGGGGCGTAACTGAACCAATTATTATGTGTAGGCAAAAAGTTTAGAATGCAATTATTATACGTACATATCCTTGCTTTCAGCATGTTGAAATAAATTCACCTGTAACATTTTCTTTCAAATTTATCATTTCCTTTTTTTTAATATTATTTTTTACAAAATTATGTGTAGGCAATTGCCTTTTTGCCTATATGGCAGCTACGCCCCTGACATCAATTAGAAAATATTAATTTTAGTCTTACATGGAGAACCATTTTGTATATCCGGAGATCATTTCTGTTTTATCCCTTAGGTTTAATGAGATAACAAATTGGTCATTACTATGTTTACAACCATAGAGTTGTTATAGGTATAGCTCAGGCTCTTGTTTGTTTAAGTGACAAAACATGCTTCACAAATACTACATGTGTAGCGACCAATTCAGAGAATGTTTTCAAGAAGAAACAAATGATTCTACCCACCATAATAAAATTTACGGCAACACACTTTAAAAAAGTGAATGAAATGAGAGTTTGGAGAACAGTTATGTTACTGTCAATGTGTGTGTATATTTTTTCAGATTAAGTCAAATTAAGGTGGGATCAGTCAAAAGAACTTTTCAAAAACTTTTTTATTTGAGCCACGACCATATCTTTAGAAAGCATGTCTTTTTTATATTCTTATATTCCATTTTCATTTGACCACTCTAAAAAGATTTAAAGAAGAAGTCTTATTTAAGCATATATATATAATATCTGTGCATCTGTGTTCCCCAAAATGTGATAAATATGTATCAACATGTATTTGATTGCAAACCCTTGTCATTGAACCACTCGTGATGAATCCTTGGTGTGCCGTGACTCAAACTGTAATATCCCGCCAGATGCTGGCCAACTTAACAGTCTTATATTGAAACTATAGCAATAATAATGGACGCAACCTTTTGGTGTGATATACAGTGGCACAAGAAGCAGGTGTCAGTCACACTTGTGCTGGGGGGATACGGTCCTATATCGTGTAGTAAATAGTTTAACTGGGAAAATGAATGCGAATACATTATTTGCAATAATTTGGATATTATGTATATACCTTAGTTATTTTCTGATTGTGGTTTTGGAACTGGGCAGTTAAATTTGAAGACCAACGAACAAGCTGTTGCCTAGCAGTCCTACCCATGTACTTGCACTGTGAACCCCTGAGTCTCAGTTGCCTGAAAATATGCTTAGAGCATTGGCAGATTTGTCTGGACATGTTCAGAGGCCAACAGTCAATTCCAGGTCTGCAGCAAATGTCATTGAGAATTCCACAGTTTCACCTTCATATACAATGCCGTCCGGTAATTCCTCTCACCTAAGCACATCGATCAACATGGCAACTAACGTCTCTTATTTTTGTGGTTTACGTGACTAAACATGCTGGTATGCATCATATTAACCTAGAAATATAAGTTTTATTGACGACTATAAGATTCTAACGTTGCATTATGCCATACGGTTGACCTTACTGGCGTTCTGACGACATCGCTTGCTGTCCGGTAATTCTGCGCAGCAACTGACGCGGATAACATCCAGCTGGAGATCCGAAGTATGGAAGCGTATTAGGGCCAGAGTATTTTCAAAAATCACTTCATCAATGTAAGGAAGAGTGTTTCATATTAAATATATTTAAAATAATGAAGAAAAAAGTTTAAAAGTCTGAAGACAACGAATTTTCATAAAACTGTCAATTTATCTGTCAATTACTGTTATTTACTTACCTTTAGTCCCTTGTAGAAATGTCCCGATTTCAAGCGTAATGTGGTAGCAGACGATGTTTACCTTTGATACGGAAGTACGCTATTGCAGCTGCTCAGAATTACCGGACTCGCTTGTATATGTAATAATTAATAACTAATTTTATGGTTCTGTGGAGAATTTCACTGACATCAGGACAATAATAGAGAAAGTGATTTGTTTTATATTATTGCAAAAATAAAAATGATTTAAATTTAGAAAATACATTTTTTTTAAATCTTCAATTTTAAACAGAAGTGTTAATTTTCCCAATTTCCATATCTGTGGCACTTCTGTGAAAGTCCCTATTATTGACACCCATTCTAGCCAAGTAGATGTTTATCTGGCATATCTGTTTGATATAATCCGACTTTCATATCAGCTGATAACGATCAGCAGCTGGAGATGGAATTTCAACCTGCTGATAAATTCTATTTTACAAATCTATTTCAACATATCTGTACACATAATGCACTTAGTGGTCCATGATGGTGCTCTTGGGCTGCCGTACTTTCAGTACACACTGGTACATATAAGTACAGTTGTGACTAACAAGTTAACATTTTGAAGTTAATCATTGTGATGATGTCTGAAGTTTTAAGAAGGGTATTGTGCTCATGTTACATGTATCAAAATACTGGCTATTACTTTCAGATATATGTGTTGTTTTGCAAGTGTTTGGACAGGTTAGGGCAGTGAAAGTTTTGTCTGGTATGTTATGTTATCTTTTGTTTCATGGGGCAGTGAAAGTTTTGCCTAGTATGCTATGTTATCTTTTGTTTTGTAGGGCAGTGAAAGTTTTGTCTGGTATGCTATGTTATCTTTTGTTTTGTAGGGAAGTGAAAGTTTTGTCTAGTATGCTGTGTTATCTTTTGTTTCGTAGGGCAGTGAAAGTTTTGTCTGGTATGCTATGTTATCTTTTGTTTTGTGGGGCAGTGAAAGTTTTGTCTAGTATGCTGTGTTATCTTTTGTCTCGTGGGGCAGTGAAAGTTTTGTCTGGTATGCTATGTTATCTTTTGTTTTGTAGGGCAGTGAAAGTTTTGTCTAGTATGCTGTTATCTTTTGTTTCGTAGGGCAGTGAAAGTTTTGTCTGGTATGCTGTGTTATCTTTTGTTTTGTAGGGCAGTGAAAGTTTTGTCTAGTATGCTGTGTTATCTTTTGTCTCGTGGGGCAGTGAAAGTTTTGTCTAGTATGCTGTGTTATCTTTTGTTTCGTAGGGCAGTGAAAGTTTTGTCTGGTATGCTTTGTTATTTTTTGTTTCGTAGGGCGGTGCGAGCATGTTTTGTGGGGTATTGATTCTGTGGCAGGTGGCACAAGCCAACTGATGACCTTGGAATGTGAAGCTGAGGGTCATCAGGTGCAGAAATTATTTTCTTAAATGACAAGCTGGATTCATGTCCCCTGTATGCTTGGCCATTGGTATATCCGTCATTAGTTCATATTTTGAGGTTGATCTCACCAAACAAGGTGGATTTAACCCCTTATCCAACAAGGTGGATCTAATCATTCATTCAACAAGGTGGATCTAATCACTCAGTCAAACAAAGTGGATCCAACCACTCCGTCAACAAGGTGGATCTAATCACTCACCCTAACAGGGTGGATCTAACTAAACATGAGGGAAATAACCACTCATCCAGCAAAAGGGATCTAACCACTCGTCCGAACAGAGCGGATTTAACAACTCCCTTAACAAGGTGGATCTAACCACTCGTCCGAACAGAGCGGATTTAACAACTCCCTTAACAAGGTGGATCTAACCACTTACTGTAGCAGGATGGATTTAATTACAGACCCAGCAAGGTGGATCTAAACCCTCAATCCAACAAGGTGGATCTAAACCCTCAATCCAACAAGGTGGATCTAAACCCTCAATCCAACAAGGTGGATCTATTATCTCACCCTAACCAGATGAATATAACCTCTCACTGTAACAAGGTGGATCTTACCACTCCCAACAAAGTGGATCTAACAACTCCCAACAAAGAGGATCTAACCAGTCCAAACAAGGTGGATCTAACCACTACAATAAATGGGATCTAACCACTCCTAACAAGGTGGATCTATTCTGCTGCTCCATCTGTTATCAGGGAATGTTTCAGACAGGATCATATTAGTTCAAGTAAATGGTTCTGGTATTTTCCGTGCAGTACGTGATCGATACCGGTACCTATTTTCAAATGTGATGATTCAGTCAGAACCAAATCTTTCTTTGACTCTACCCGTCCTTTTCATCATTTCGTCTTTTATACAGGGAACTCAGCAATGAGGGCTTGTCAGCAGGGTACCTATGATGTTTCAGTCCTGTGGGGTCAGGTGGTTAGGCAACAACTTGTGTTCACCTTTTCCCCTTAACATATAAACCAGCATTTGACTATATACCTGTCCCAGATTTCCCTCAGAGCCATGCTCCAAGATAGAAGTTTCTAGAGATACAGTGACAAGTGACAGTTAACCTCATCCATGTTGACAAATGTTGAAATGTGATGTATAGAACAAACTTTATGGATAACAACTTCTTTATTTCATGAGTGCGACGTTTCGATACAGATTCTTGTACCGTTGTCAAGCAGGAAGGACAACGGTACAAGAATTCCTGCTTGACAACGGGAACTTTGATAACAAAATTCACAACTTGTGATGATTCCTTTAATTTCTAGTTAACACATTTCTTTGACTTTTCAGCTTTTTAGATGACTTAGATCGTTTAGGGGCAAAGGATTACATGCCAACTGAGCAGGATATCCTGAGGACAAGAGTGAAGACAACTGGTATTGTAGAAGTGCACTTCTCCTTTAAGAATTTAAATTTCAAGTGAGTATGAAACCAAACTGTTGACATACACCCTAATCAGCTGCTAGGGGCCTTGTGTTGTTTTAGTTCGAGTCATTCAGCTTTCAAATTAAAGTACAGGTTTACTAATCAATCATATCTTCCAAAAACTATCTTTCAATATCTTCCCACACGGGTGAGAAACTGAATGAAACCGAAGTGTTCAGTAACCTGAAATAGCCCTCTGTAGTCCTGACCTTGAAATGACCTTTCAAGGAGCTGAGGTTATTGGGATATAAAACAACACCCGGCTGCTGATCAGACTGACTGCGTGAACCATCATATTGTACAAACAATTGACCTTGTCTAATTCTTGTATGTCTGCTATTCATTCTGACTTATCAGTATTTTTTGCCTTTATCTGCTTTTCCTCCCGGAAGTTTGATCTGAAATTATGTAAATTAAGGGGAGATAATGCAACACCCAGTGTATCACTGCCATCACTCCTGTGATGAAGCACTGTCATCCCCTTCCACTGGAGTGGATGAGCTGCTGTAGCAAATATCGCGTAATAATTGCTCAGGGTGACAAATTTCAAGGATGGGCACTAGACAGATTCCTCCTCATAATAACTGTTTCATGCTCTGCATCATGGGTATTGGCATTATAGTGACATTTTCTGAAAATAAAGTTCAGATAATAAAATCTATATTCTAGAGGGAAATAATTGATGAAAATGTCGCAGCTAATTGTTGTGGCCCTGGACTGAGACTTTCCTAAGTGGTACAGTCTTTCTACTCTAATGAAATATATCCTGTAGTTGCTCACTGTACATCATGGTAGGAGGAGGACATTAACATATGTTTGATATCATTTTATGTGTTAACTCTAAGTGTTCTTTGCAGATGAAGATTCAAGTCTTCATTTTGCTTGAAGTCTTCCCGTTATTTTAACTGTATGGAGATATGAGCCAAAATATAATTATTTGTTCCTGTAGAGAAATATTTCGGAAGAAACTATATATTGACAGTTTTATTTACTATTTTCACCATGGTAAGTATTTATATCATCCATTAGCAGCATAAACCATTAACACAAAATAAGGTCTGATATTGTTGTCATTGTAAATTACTGCATTTGCTTTGTATATATACCTGTGAAGATCTGGGTTTGAAGTGGTCTTCAGTAACCCATGCTTGTCATAAGAGGTGACTACCGGGATCGGGTGGTCAGGCTCGCTGACTTGGTTCACACTTGTCATCGTATCTCAGCTGCGCAGATCGATGCTCATAATGTTGATCACTGGATTATCTGGTCCAGACTTGATTATTTACAGACTGCCGCCTTATAGCTGGAATATTGCTGAATGCTGTGTAAAACTAAACTCACTCACTCACTGCTCTGTATACATTTTGTTCACTTTATTTCAGTTTATTTCACTGAATCCTGTATGAAGACAAGAATTACTTTTTAAAAATGAAATGTATTCAACCTATGTTTGTAAATTAAGTATTGTAACTGACTTTATTTTTGATAAACCTTTTTGCTTGAATATTGCTGTGACTTTGTGTGCGATCATGCTTCAGCATCTGTTGTCCTTACAGGTTATTTGACGTTGGAGGGCAGAGATCAGAAAGAAAGAAATGGATTCACTGTTTTGAAGATGTCACTGCCATTATATTTTGTGTAGCCATGAGCGAATACGATCAAGTGTTACATGAAGATGAAACAACTGTGAGTATTTGCTCCTTGTTGGGAGCAACATATGGCAGTAGATGTGTTTATGATATCATGTCATGGAATTCTGACAAATCTGTTTTGATTTTGACCATTTTGAACCATGTACTTATGACTTGTTCAGTGTTGTGGATTATCATTCTGACATTAAGGATGTACTGTTCTATCGTTCAGAAGAGTATTCTTAATTCAAACCCGGAATCCATTGTCCATGTGTGTTAATTTACAACTGCTGAGGATATTCACAAATATGTTGTATAGTTCCTGTGATTAACATTATTAACTGGTATGGAGACATTATTTTGTCAATGACGTTATCTTGTGATGAAACTGTGTTGCCATCAGTGACACTGTAACACCAATGCCAGTGTTATCTGTGTTGAGGTAGTAACAATTCTTACATGAAGTAATGTTAAAAAATGAAATGAAACAATATGATTGATTTATTATAAATTCATAAACAATTCCCATTTTTCTTCCAGAACCGCATGCAAGAGAGCTTGAAGTTGTTCGATTCCATCTGCAACAATAAATGGTTCACTGATACATCCATCATTCTCTTCCTCAACAAGAAAGATTTGTTTGAAGAGAAAATCAGAAAATCTCCGCTAACGATATGTTTCCAAGAGTATACAGGTAATTATGATGTAGGGCTGGGACGAACTGGTTACATTTGTACTATGAGTAAGTCGCTAGTGAGATGGACAGGGTTGTGGCAGGCTGAATGGGCTTCCACATGTTGTAACTGAAGCTTGAGCAGTGTGTAAGTTCATTCAGCTGGTAAATTCTGAACATCCTGCTTGCAACACATGTTACAATTTTATCAATATGAGTTCATCAGTTGCAAAGACATGTTTTGGTGACATATTTGTGTGTGACAGTTTTGACCTATCCTGGAAGTACACAGATGAATGAGCCATCTACCTAAGTACTGGCCTTTTCAAGAGAGTGACTGGCCAATTATAAATCAGATAGGTAGATTTTTTATTGAGTAATAATAAAGTAACCTACATGAACATGAACAGGGGTTGACTGCTGGATAGACTGTTCTAACATAGAGAATGGTGGATATGTAACTATTTACAACCTGCAGAGATGACAGTGCTAGAATATGGGTCAGGCACCATGACGATGTGGAGAGTTAACCTCCTTGACATATTTTTTGTGAGAACTTTTTTCTCTCCTTCCATATCCCACAGCACCCAGAGCCTCCTACCATATCCCACAGCACCCAGGGCCTCCTTCCATATCCCACAGTACCCAGAGCCTCCTTCCATATCCCACAGCACCCAGGGCCTCCTTCCATATCCCACATCACCCAGAGCCTCCTACCATATCCCACAGCACCCAGAGCCTCCTTCCATATCCCACATCACCCAGAGCCTCCTTCCATATCCCACAGCACCCAGAGCCTCCTTCCATATCCCACAGCACCCAGAGCCTCCTTCCATATCCCACAGCACCCAGGGCCTCCTTCCATATCCCACAGCACCCAGAGCCTCCTACCATATCCAACAGCACCCAGAGCCTCCTTCCATATCCCACAGCACCCAGGGCCTCCTTCCATATCCCACAGCATGCAGGGCCTCCTACTATATCCCACAGCACCCAGGGCCTCCTTCCATATCTAACAGCACCCAGGGCCTCCTTCCATATCCCACAGCACCCAGGGCCTCCTTCCATATCCCACAGCACCCAGAGCCTGCTTCCATATCCCACAGCACCCAGGGCCTCCTTCCATATCCCACATCACCCAGAGCCTCCTTCCATATCCCACAGCACCCAGAGCCTCCTTCCATATCCCACAGCACCCAGGGCCTCCTTCCATATCTCACAGCACCCAGAGCCTCCTTCCATATCCCACAGCACCCAGAGCCTCCTTCCATATCCCACAGCACCCAGGACCTCCTTCCATATCTCACAGCACCCAGGGCCTCCTTCCATATCTAACAGCACCCAGGGCCTCCTTCCATATCCCACAGCACCCAGGGCCTCCTTCCATATCCCACAGCACCCAGGGCCTCTTTCCATATCCAACATCACCCAGAGCCTCCTTCCATATCCAACATCACCCAGAGCCTCCTTCCATATCCCACAGCACCCAGAGCCTCCTTCCATATCCCACAGCACCCAGGGCCTCCTTCCATATCCAACATCACCCTGTCTTACCTAACCACACCCACAAGCCCACCTCCACTTTCAACGGCTGAATGGGGGCTTATACTCACACCACACCACTCCACACAACACACAGCTAATGTCATTTCAAGGATGTGGCTATTCCAATTCAATCTGAAATCATTTCAGTTGAACATCCCCAAGTAGCATTCATGAATTTATATAAATGAAGAACACTAAGGTCACCTTACATTCCCAAGTATCTGAATTCTTGAAGATTTAGCCAAACTGATTCAGCCAAATATACTTATGATGGTGGATCAGGTTGGTGTCGGGGACAGGGGACAGATGAGCTGTCAGAGTCGGTCTGGCCGTCTGGAGGATGTAACTCACACACGCCTACATTCTCTCATTGTTTTCATTGCATATAATTGTTGCATTACATCCACGTCACCATGAACATGGAGGACAATTGGTATTGTGAAAAATATTAGTCTGGAGTTTATGAATCTATATAGAATACAAAGATTTCCGGTAACAGAGCATTTGTCTGCATCATTCTGTACATATGCAATGAGGGCCGGGTTGGTTGGAGAAAGTCGAGACAGGAACAACAGAATTTATTACCTCCTATCTACTACATAGAGACTGCTTCTGAAATATATTCCCGATAAATTAAATTCAGCTTGTTAACCATTTAAGTTTTCCAGACAAAATCATATAAATTTTCAGAGCTGTCCCTTTTCTCATAAAGTTAATATTCAGAAGGACAAATATAATTTAATTGGATATTTTTGTAATTATTGGTACAAAACTACAGTCAAATCTTATGGACTTTGTAGAATTGTATAATTAATTAGGTAGCTGGTACTGTAGTCATGTATGAGTTACCTGCCCTTGTCAGAGCTCATTATTTATGCAGAAATAGAAAATGGAGTCCAACCCAGCAAGATCAATACTGTTGGAAGGTGCTGAAATGGCACAGCCTGGCATCCTCACATGATTCTTGGAACAAGGGATTGGATAGAATTTGGTATTTGAGGCATAGTTTGGGCAGGTGGTTGTTCAAAGCAAAATAAATGTCCTTTTCCCTCTGTATTTCTCAAACATTTGCCATTAATGATATACATAAATTATCAGCAAGTCGGTATGGCTAAATATAGACATGATTGTGAACCGGAGCCATTTCACAAACTGATTTGATGGAACTAAGATTGATATGCCACCAAGGACAGCCACACTAGTGTGTATGAGTAGATAATTATGGATTTATACAATTATGGTAGGAATTAGAGACATTTGAATATGTTTTGGAGTTCTGAAATGTGGAGATTTGGAAGGGACATTATTTAGATGAACTGTAATGGATTCAGTGCTACATGCAAGTGTTAGGAAATACCACAATGTGTGGCAGATAGTAAGACCTTCTCTCACTAAACACATTACCTACTACCACTTCTGATAGGTAGTTTTTCATCAGTCATAGTTTTTCATATTTATTGCTTGAAAATTTCTCAGTTTGCCTGTATTTGTGTCATGTGTAAGAATTATATTCACAATATCAGTTACTAGATTTTTTCAGGGCAATGACTTGCTACTCATTCTGACATGTGCAGGTGGGAACACTTATAAACAATTATGGATCAATTTTGGTTAATAGAAATACCAGATACAATTCAGTGCTTTTAATTAATTTGTGCATTCAACCGGAAACATTTATATTGATAGTGTAGAGGCTTCTACACACATAAACATGCATTGCAAAACAGAGAATGTCTGCGGCTTGCACTAGTTTCAGGAAACCTCAGAAAACTGAAAGTGACTGATTGACTGAGAGAGCTATTTTTTAGGTGGTATATATGACAGATAATATTTCTTGTATTACAACAGTTTGATAAAGACATTAAAGTGAGACTGAAATCTCACTAATAATGCTTGAGAGAAGAGAGAACCTGAATAATTCACCCTGTTTTCACATGTAAGTCCATGGAAAGATGTGCACAGTTTCATCCTGTGTTCATATCTCTCCATGGACAGAAGTGCCCAGTCTCACCCTGTGTTCATGTCTCCCCATGGAAAGATGTGCACAGTTTCATCCTGTGTTCATATCTCTCCATGGACAGAAGTGCCCAGTCTCACCCTGTGTTCATGTCTCCCCATGGAAAGATGTGCACAGTTTCATCCTGTGTTCATATCTCTCCATGGACAGAAGTGCCCAGTCTCACCCTGTGTTCATATCTCTCCATGGACAGAAGTGAACTGTTCATCCTGTGTTCATATCTCTCCATGGTCAGAGGTGAACTGTTCATCCTGTGTTCATATCTCTCCATGGACAGAAGTGCCCAGTCTCACCCTGTGTTCATATCTCTCCATGGACAGAAGTGAACTGTTCATCCTGTGTTCATATCTCTCCATGGTCAGAGGTGAACTGTTCATCCTGTGTTCATATCTGTCAATGGACAGAAGTGCCCAGTCTCACCCTGTGTTCATGTCTCTCCATGGTCAGAGGTGACCAGTTTCATCCTGTGTTCATGTCTCTCCATGGTCAAAGGTGAACTGTTCATCCTGTGTTCATATCTCTCAATGGACAGAAGTGCCCAGTCTCACCCTGTGTTCATGTCTCTCCATGGTCAGAGGTGACCAGTTTCATCCTGTGTTCATGTCTCTCCATGGTCAGAGGTGAACTGTTCATCCTGTGTTCATATCTCTCCATGGACAGAAGTGCCCAGTCTCACCCTGTGTTCACATCTCTCCATGGTCAGAGGTGAACTGTTCATCCTGTGTTCATGTCTCTCCATGGACAGAGGTGACCAGTTTCACCCTGTGTTCACATCTCTCCGTGGACAGAGGTGAACTGTTCACCCTGTGTTCATGTCTCTCCATGGACAGAGGTGACCAGTTTCACCCTGTGTTCACATCTCTCCATGGACAGAGGTGAACTGTTCACCCTGTGTTCATGTCTCTCCATGGACAGAGGTGACCAGTTTCACCCTGTGTTCACATCTCTCCATGGTCAGAGGGGACCAGTTTCACCTTGTGTTCATGTCTTTCCATGGACAGAGGTGAACTGTTCACCCTGTGTTCACATCTCTCCATGGACAGAGGTGACCAGTTTCACCTTGTGTTCATGTCTCTCCATGGACAGAGGTGACCAGTTTCACCCTGTCTTCACATCTCTCCATGGACAGAGGTGACCAGTTTCACCTTGTGTTCATGTCTCTCCATGGACAGAGGTGACCAGTTTCACCTTGTGTTCATGTCTCTCCATGGACAGAGGTGACCAGTTCAGATGTCTCTTGATGGTCAAAGGAGCTAGACACCCAACATGTCTTAAGCACCAATGGCATGTTTTCAAAGATAATATACTTCTAGACTAATATAAGTCTGCGGTTTAGAAAGAACGCTTTGTGTGTTCTACATGCCAATGTTTAGATAGTACATCAGGGATGCTCTTGGCACTTTAAGCCTCAAGTTCAGCAAACATACAAAGTATTAATTCCAAATGGAAGGACCGTACTCAACTATATTTATGTAAGCTAGGAATGATATGTAAAATAGCATCTGCTCCTATAACTAACAGAGTTGTGTCCCTTGCCTACCAGGATCTGGTGATATTGAAATTTTGGGGATGTAGGTTCCTGAAGTGGTGCACGTAGTGATTTGAGATACTTGTCAGCATCCATTCACATGATTATGTTTGTATATTAAACAGTAATTCCTAAGTTTTGCTCACTCTGATTCTGGACGATCAAACTCCAGGGTGCCGTTGTACAAAGCAACATTAGTACTACGCCAGTCGTAAGTCTATGTTATTGTATGGGAGTTACGATCACCTTAGGGCTAAGATCCCTTTGTACAATGACACCCAGGCCAGTAGTAACAGTAACAATAACTGGTGAGAACAGTTGCGATAACATGCTGGCAAGGTTGTTGTTAGGTTGGTTGGTTCTAACTGTGCTGTGTTTGTTCCAGGCAAGCAAACATATGAAGAGGCAGCTGCCTACATCCAGGCTCAGTTTGAGGCTAAGAACAAGAGCTCCACCAAGGAAATCTACTGCCACCAAACCTGTGCCACGGATACCAACAATATTCAGTTTGTGTTTGATGCCGTCACGGATGTAATCATCGCAAACAATCTGCGTGGCTGTGGATTGTACTAATATGGCGGAACATGGCGGACGAGAAGAGGCTTAAGGTGGCTGGACCGTTCACCGACCGCCAGACGGACGGATGGATGGGCGGGCGGGCGAGCGGGGCGTGCATGTGTCTGTGTCAATTGTGTCGCTGTCTGTTTCTGACTCCTCTTCACGGGACCTGCATTTTATGGATCTCGGGACTACAACAAACCAAGTCCTGTTTATGAAATATTGTGTGCAATTTCAGTGTTGAGCTGCAGCAGACGTGTGTCTCACGTCTGTCAGCTGTGAAGAGCTCACTGCTCATGTGCAGACATACACGTTGCTATGGTGACGTAGTGGTGTGAACACTAGCCAAAAGGACTAAGATTTTAAAGTATGGGCTATGTGATCAGCAGAGGCCACACTGTAATATTAAAAAGAGCTCAACAAAGAAGATGATTTCTCTTGCTTGGTCTTCACTGGACGTTATCCTCTACCACAACCGTAGGAGGAAGTTTGCCGGCCCTCGACGGCCATTGTGTCTCTGTTGTGAATCAACAGAAGTAGTGGCCAGCTTGTGTCTTACAAAGGAGCTAAGAGAAGACAACTCTGGTTACACTTTCACATGTATGTATGTATGTGTGTGCGTATTGCAACAGAACCGAGGTCTTGTTTAGCTACGCTTCACGCTTATTCGCTGGCCCACTTGCATAGGTTTCCTCAGTTGCTGAAACTGAGTGGACCAACAAGCACACTAGAAGCTGGCAAGCCTGTATCAACATTAGTATATAGAGAGCATTACTGACAATACTGTTTCCCAGTGGCTTCAACATATGCCTAGATTTTGCTTGATGCTACTGAATGGATAGGAGAACAGTGCCACTCAGTCAGTTTTCTCATTGAAGCAGGGGCCTGTTGGGACATGCACTGTACTTTATGTCCCAAGCCGATCAGTGTTGCCGTGTAACGTGTAAGCCCCTCCCATCAAGGGATTCACAGCCTCGGCCTCGTCTTGTGTTGAATGCAAGTTGAGTTGGTTCTTCTGTCTTGTTGCTGAGTATGTGAGTAGTCTCTGATGCTTGTCCCGGTACGACGGAACTGGACTCAGTTCGTTTGTCCTGCCGAGTCTTTTTATGGCCATTGTGGTAATGGCCCAACTGGGCAGTGCCCGGCTATATGTACGACGCGCTTGCGCACATGTACGACAAATCCTCTCCCACTGTGTGGATGGGTGTTTGCTCACCCAGATATATTTATTTGATTGGTTAGTCTTTACAAGAGGCAGGTGTATGCAAATTCAAATCTGACTGGGATTTTGTTTCAGTGGCGGAGAAAAGTAATTACTCTTAAGAATAGACATGGAAATTATTTGTAAAATTAGTCCAGTAAATTACAAGCCTCAGGCCTTTTCCATTAATGGCAGCTTATATTTGTGTAGGAATCTATGTCAATCAGAAATTGATTTTTTTTAAAATACATAATTGCTCAAGAGTTTCAGAATTGAAATTTGAACAAAATTCACTTTCTCCTGTGATTTCCTACCAGTTGTTTTAGATCTCATTACAGCAGCATGCAAATGTCTCGCGAACAAAATGACTATTTTACAATCTTACATAATTGCTCATCTTGTTTTTATTTTTTTTTAATATCCGGGCAAAGTGCAAATATTTCTCTTTGACTAGTCAGAGCATAATGAATGACGAGTCAGGAATGCTATATATTTATTTATCTGGCATACACACTTCATCTTACTTTGAAAAGTAAATATATTCAAGGCCTAATTATTCTGAATGCTGAATAAGGATAAGGCATTGAGAACAGAATCTCTTAGTAAACTTTATTGAAATAAAAGACTGAAAATATCTATTTTCTAAAATTCTCATATTGAATAAATGGAAATTAGGTCTTTAAGCATAACACAAATTTTGTCTGTGTCAAAACACAAAGATTTATTGCAAAATATTCTTGATATTTTTCAGATTCTATTTTCATGCACCAAGAGAATCCCTTGAATGCCAAAATTACTGAGCATCATTTTGCATGGGGGTGAGAAAAAAGGGGTTTGGTGGCTGATTTCTCAATAATATCTTGTAGATTGGGGAGAATTTCAGGGTTTTAGCAAACCTGAAATAGAAACTATAGACTGTCATTTTAAGTTGAAGTCTTGTGTGTGTGTGAATGATTTCCAGACATCTCATAATGTGTGATGTTTATATGAATATCCTGTAATAGCCCAGATCATCATGCCTCACTCACTTGGTATCTTGTTCATCTGCAGTGCAAGTCTATGAGGAATGAAGTTCTGGGCTAATATTGTGTACACCCTTGCTTTGTTTTCACTGTCGTCAGTTCAGGGAACTTTCTGTGATTTTTGCACAAGGCTGACGTCTGCTTGTGCTAGCAGACGCCACGATTATTCCAATCCACTGAAAGGCATACGGAGAGGAGATGTTGGCATATGACCTTAGCGGCTGAACTCGTTGTCAGCTGTGTCGAGTATATCGGTTTGTGTATTATACGTAGATAGTGACACGTTCTTACTGATTATGCCCTTCCATGTTAAGAGACCATCATTTTGAGCTCAAAAACAAATATTTTCCCCTAAAGTGGTGTTTTTGTAGGGGATCTAGCTTTATAGTCGTGAAATTGGCTTTTGTCAGTGCTTTTAGCTGGAACATTTAATGAGCTCCTGTTGATTATATTGATAATCTTGTACAGAATAAACCATGAGCTTGCTTTATTCTGTCACAAGATCCATGTGTTCACCTTGTGTATGGCCTCTTCTTGGGTTTTTAAGGGGTCAACTGTCTATCTGTTGGCTATGGCCTATTTCAAATTTTCATTTTAGATATTGTTGAACTGATGATGAAAATTGTGTAGAGTGTTTGGGAATCAGTTCGTTTGTTTCATTGCGCAGACAATGAGCAATGAATTCTGTAGAACGTCACAATTTTCGAAATAGGCTATTGACAACGTTACGCAGTTTAACTCAAGGCTTGACTATACGCAAGTGTGTTATATTACAAAATAATTTCTTCGCTGTCTTGTGCCAGAGATGTTGTCTGGCTTGGACAAATTGATATATGGAAATTATTTTGTTCAGGAAATTGTAAGTTACTTATTATATGAGTGTATTACAGTGATGATGAAATATGTATAAACCATGACGACGCATCATGCACGTCTGTTTAAATCGTACTGTATGCCTATGACGCAAGTTGTAAAGGTGATTTTTTGCACATTAATGTACATTACTGTATTCGTAATAACTGTGTTCTGTACTAGTTGAATGAGCATTGCATGTATCTGCATCAGTAAACATTGTGATCACAATTCAACTTGTTCCATGTTGTGTGACATGTAATTCATCTTTCCACATGTAGCCAGGCGAAGAACACTGGCGGACATGTGCATTAATTCATTGAATGTGAAAATTAACCCATGTGTTTAAAGGGAAGTGCTAAGCAGGTAAAAATGGCACCTGACATAAAAAAGCGTTGGTTTTCCTGTTGAGACGAGGCCTATTTTTCTGACACATTTCATTGGAATATTTTGAAGTAAAATTAGTTGTGGGGGGAACAGCGTGTTCTCCCTTGCTGTAGGATATAACGTTATCATTACAACTGTCTACAGATTGTTTTGATAATTGTTCCATCCTGTTGACCTGCTAAGTAGCGTGTTTTAAAGACTCAGTTACGATCGATCGTGCTACGTACCACTGGCTGGTACCCCCTTATCATGTAATAATATGGGGCAGTCTGCCTCGTCATTTTATTATAAATGTGTCATTTTCACTATCTTCCTGGCCTGCTTGCTTATTTCCTCGCTAGGTCTGTTCACATGTCGGTGGACAGAATTGGGAGGGAGGGTCCTAATCTTAGCTATGGGAATTGTGGGATGGGAGGGAAGGTTTGGGGGGGAATCTTAGTGAAATTGTGCTGAGAATTTGTATTCATATGCTGTTAACCCTTGGTGTGCTACTGATCTGACTTTCCTGGAGCTTTGAAAGAGATGTTACTGTGCTTAGCACGTAAAGGGTTAATGACCATGCATCTAGCCTAGTACATGTAATTGGGATGAGCAAGCCTCTGTCAAGAGGACAGAACTCATACATCCCTACTCTTTCAGTTTATTTATTTATTATTTATTTATTTCAGTGTTATGAAGACGATCATTTGCATGAGTGTATAACTTTGAACTAAGAAGATGGTTGTTATGGTCCATATATTATATGTGTAAAGCCAACGATTTTAATGTTCAATTGTACTGATTTCTGACTTTGCCATCAATCAGCAAGGCTACGGTAAGGCTCAGACTGGAACTGGTGCAGATTCAGCTAGTCTGAGACTGTCCATTGTAACATCTAATCTTCCTGCATTGAAAACATTTCAAAATTGTTTACAAGGGGTCAATTTTAGGTCTATTTATTCATGTTTCTGTAGGTTGATTTTGGCACTTTCGTTCTGGCTGCCTGCATAGTTCCAGTTAGAAAACCTTACTAAGGTCAATAACCTTGACCTCTTAAACAGGGTCAGGATGTCCCTTTTTGTACATCATAGGAACTGCTGTCAAGTGTTAACTGCAATTTAAAATTTCAATATTTGAATTCCACGGTGAGAGGTTAAGATCACATAGTATATGTCCTTTTAATCAGTGGCTGTCAATGGCCTACCACTGAGTATTCGGCAGATGTATAGTAACCGTAGAGAACTTGCAACAAACGATGTCAATGTGTTATTGTCTATCTTCAATCAACCTGAAATAAAAACTTAGAATTTTACATGCAGTTCTTCTGTTGTATCTTCTTCTGGGAGTCAAACTGAAGCAGTGTCCAAAAATAGAACTGACACAAAAACATTCATGATGACATAAGGCACCTCTTTTAAACTATTCATCTATGTACAAATAGTAAAATGTGAGTGTTCAGCAAGTTGAGCTGAAGTAAATGGTCTTTTTTGTTTCCTTCCTGTTTAACACTGCACTCAGCCTATTCCAACTACATAAGAAAATGTGTGTAAATAATTAAGTCAGCCACCAATCAAGTGATTGACATTAATGATCCACAGAGTTAGTTTATGATGACAAGCAATGAACCCAGTCACTAAGTCAGACAACCAGATCCACTGTCACTCCTAGGAATCAGCAGACATAGGTTGCTAGAAACCTAGTCTATCCCAACAGAGCTTGACTGAAGTGACCCAATGCTTGCATGATTGTATGAGATGCTGTGATTGCTTGACAAAAATATTCTTCCAGTTTCCTAGTGATAACAGTCATCTCCATGTACATCATAAAGTCAGTTGCTATCTGTTTCCCTGCATTCTTGACATTTACACAATATATATATATGGTATAATCCCACTAACTGATGCTTTCATCACAATGTATAAGGTATAAGACCACTAATTGATGCTTTCATCCCAATATATAAGGCATAAGCCCACTAATTCATGCTTTCATCACAATGTATATGGTATAAGCCCACTAATTCATGCTTTTATCACAATGTATATATGGCATAAGCCCACTAATTCATGCTTTCATCACAATATATATATGGTATAAGCCCACTAATTCATGCTTTTATCACAATGTATAAGGTATAAGCCCGCTAATTGATGCTTTTATCACGATGTATAAGATATAAGCGCACTGATCCATGCTTTCATCATAATATATCAGGTATAAGCCCACTGATTCATGCTTTCATCACAAAATATAACATGTAAGCCCACTAATTCATGCTTTCATCACAATGTATAAGCCCAATGATAAGTGCTTTTATCACAATATATAAGGTATAAGCCCACTAATTCACGCTTTTATCACAATATATAAGGTATCAGCCAACTGACCCATGCTTTCATCACAATGTATATGGTATAAGCCCACTACTAAATGCTTTCATCACAATGTATATGGTATAAGCCCGCTGATTCATGCTTTTATCACAATATATAAGATATACGCCTGATAATTCATGCTTTTATCACAATATATAAGATATACGCCTGATAATTCATGCTTTTATCACAATATATAAGGTATAAGCCCACTAATTCACGCTTTTATCACAATATATAAGGTATCAGCCAACTGACCCATGCTTTCATCACAATGTATATGGTATAAGCCCACTACTAAATGCTTTCATCACAATGTATATGGTATAAGCCCGCTGATTCATGCTTTTATCACAATATATAAGATATACGCCTGATAATTCATGCTTTTATCACAATATATAAGATAAAAGCAAACTGATCCATCCTTTATCACAATATATAAGATATAAGCCCACTAATTCATGCTTTTATCACAATGTATAAGATATGACCCCACTAATTCATGCTTTCATCACAATATATAAGGTATAAGCCCACTGACCCATGTTTTCATCACAAAGTATATGGTATAAGCCCACTAATTCATACTTTCATCACAAAGTATATGGTATAAGCCCACTAATTCATACTTTCATGACAATGTATAAGGTATAAGCCCACTCAGTCGTGCTTTCATCACAATATATAAGGTATAAGCCCACTGACCCATGCTTTCATCACAATGTATATGGTATAAGCCCTCTAATTCATGCTTTCATCACAATCTATATGGAGTAAGCCAACTAATTCATGCTTTCATCACAATGTATATGATATAAGCCCACTAATTCATGCTTTCATCACAATGTATATGGCAAAGCCCGCTAATTCATGCTTTCATCCCAATATATAAGGCATAAGCCCACTAATTCATGCTTTCATCACAATGTATATGGTATCAGCCCCCTAAATCATGCTTTCATCACAATGTTTATATCGTATAAGCCCACTGACCCATGCTTTCATCACAATGTATATGGTATAAGCCCAATAATTCATGCTTTCATCACTAAGTATATGGAATACGCCCACTAATTCATGCTTTCATCACAATATATATGATACAAGCCCACAAATTCATGCTTTCATCACAATGTATAAGGTATAAGCCCGCCAATTCATGCTTTTATCACAATATATATGGTATAAGCCCACTAATTCATGCTTTCATCCCAATATATATGGTATAAGCCCACTAATTCATGCTTTCATCACAATGTATATGGTATAAGCCCGCTAATTCATGCTTTAAGCAGGTATAAGCCTATTGACCCATGCTTTCATCACAATGTATAAGGTATAATACATCCTAGATAGTACACCAACCCCTCCTCCAGGCACAGAATCCCAATGACCCAGTGCAGACGTCTGCTGCTCCACTCACAGAATCCCACTCACCCACTGCAGACGTCAGCCGTCCAGCAACACAATCCCACTCACCCACTGCAGACGTCTGCTACTTCAGCCACATATTCCCACTCAACCACTGCAGCGTCTGCTCTTCCAGCCACACAATCCCACTCACCCACTGCAGACGTCTGCTCCTCCAGCCACACAATCCCACTCACCCACTGCAGGCGTCTGCTGCTACAGTCACAGAATCCTAATCACCCACTGCAGACGTCTGCTGCTCCAGCCACAGAATAACACTGACCCACTGCAGTCGCTTGCTGTTTCACTCACAGAATCCCATTCACAAACTGCGGTCGTCTGCTGCTCCACTCACAGAATCCCACTAACCTACTGCAGACGTCTGCTGTTCCAGCCACAGAATCCCACTCACCAACTACAGACGTCTGCTGTTCCAGCCACAGAATCCCACTCACCCACTGCAGACGTCTGCTGCTCCAGGCAAAGAATCCCACTAACCCACTGCAGACGTCTGCTGCTCCAGCCACAAAATTACACTCACCAACTCCAGGCGTATGCTGCTACAGCCACAGAATCCTAATCACCCACTGCAGTCGTCTCCTGCTCTAGCAACAGAATCCCACTCACCCACTGCAGATGTCTGCTGCTCCAGCAACATAAGAACACTGACCCACTGCAGTCGTCTGCTGCTTCACTCACAGAATCCCACTCACCCACTGCAGTCGTCTGCTGCTTCACTCACAGAATCCCACTCACCCACTGCAGTGGTTTGCTGCTTCACTCACAGAATCCCACTCACCTACTGCAGACGTCTGCTGCTTCACTCACAGAATCCCACTCACCCACTGCAGTCGTCCGCTGCTTCAGACACAGAATCCCACTCACCCACTGCAGTCGTCTGCTGCTTCACTCACAGAATCCCACTCACCCACTGCAGTCGTCTGCTGCTTCACTCATAGAATCCCACTCACCCACTGCAGTCGTCTGCTGCTCCAGCCACAGAATCCCTTTCACCCACTGCATACGTCTACTGTTTCAGTCACAGAATCCCACTCACCCACTGCAGACGTCTGCTGCTCCAGCCACACAATAACACTGACCAACTGCAGTGGTTTGCTGCTTCACTCACAGAATCCCACTCACCCACTGCAGACGTCTGCTGCTTCAGCCACACAATAACACTGACCAACTGCAGTGGTTTGCTGCTTCACTCACAGAATCCCACTCACCCACTGCAGTCGTCTGCTGCTCCAGGCACAGAATCCCACTCACCCACTGCAGACGTCTGCTGCTCCAGCCACAGAATCCCTGTCACCCACTGCATACGTCTACTGTTTCAGTCACAGAATCCCACTCACCCACTGCAGACGTCTGCTGCTCCAGCCACACAATAACACTGACCAACTGCAGTGGTTTACTGCTTCACTCACAGAATCCCACACACCTACTGCAGACGTCTGCTGCTCCAGTCACAAAATTACACTCACCCACTCCAGACGTATGCTGCTACAGCCACAGAATCCTAATCACCCACTGCAGTCGTCTCCTGCTCTAGCAACAGAATCTCACTCACCCACTGCAGACGTCTGCTGCTCCAGCAACATAAGAACACTGACCCACTGCAGTCCTTTGCTGCTTCACTCACAGAATCCCACTCACCCACTGCAGTCGTCTGCTGCTTCACTCACAGAATCCCACTCACCCACTGCAGTCGTCTGCTGCTTCACTCACAGAATCCCACTCACCCACTGCAGACGTCTGCTGCTTCACTCACAGAATCCCACTCACCCACTGCAGTCGTCTGCTGCTTCACTCACAGAATCCCACTCACCCACTGCAGTCGTCTGCTGCTTCACTCACAGAATCTCACTCACCCACTGCAGTCGTCTGCTGCTTCACTCACAGAATCCCACTCACCCACTGCAGTCGTCTGCTGCTTCACTCACAGAATCCCACTCACCCACTGCAGACGTCTGCTGCTCCAACCACAGAATCGAACTCACCCACTGCAGACGTCTGCTGCTCCAGCCACAGAATCCCTTTCACTCACTGCATACGTCTACTGTTTCAGTCACAGAATCCCACTCACCCACTGCAGACGTCTGCTGCTCCAGCCACACAATAACACTGACCAACTGCAGTGGTTTGCTGCTACACTCACAGAATCCCACTCACCCACTGCAGACGTCTGCTGCTTCAGCCACACAATAACACTGACTAACTGCAGTGGTTTGCTGCTTCACTCACAGAATCCCACTCACCCACTGCAGACGTCTGCTGCTCAAGTCACAGAATCCCACTCACCCACAGCAGACGCCTGCTGCTCCAGCCACAGAATCCCTGTCACCCACTGCATACGTCTACTGTTTCAGTCACAGAATCCCACTCACCCACTGCAGACGTCTGCTGCTCCAGCCACACAATAACACTGACCAACTGCAGTGGTTTGCTGCTTCACTCACAGAATCCCACTCACCTACTGCAGACGTCTGCTGCTTCAGCCACACAATAACACTGACCAACT